ACTAGTGCGTTTACGTATCATCAATGTGCAACCACCTTGTAAACCCCAACTCATATGTCTCTGTTTCAATAATATAAGATATTATCGTCTCACAATCACTCGTGATATAATCCATGAAGTGATTCAAATGAGTGTGTGTTTAATCCAATACTCAAATTCTTATTGCAGGAGTACTCACGAACACTGCAGTAAACTTGTGTCATGTCTAAGCACTTAGACAATCTACAGTCGGATTCATAACAATCTTGCTTCATTACTTACTTCCAAAGTATGATCGACTGTGGATGTTTAAATAATCTTATTATCCGGTAAGTAAAACATGCGAAGTGAAACACAATAATAAAACAATCAAATATGGTCTCAAAACTTTTGAATATAAATAAAACACTTATTATTGAATCACCATATTGATTAGAACTTATTCATTGTATAATGTTTCAAACAATCAACTTAATACTTGAATTAAAACAATAGTTATCCCATGCTCCAAGCATGCATACTATGTTCATCTATGGTCCTTTCCTTATGAAATATATCAATTGAACACATTTCCAATGATGCTCATTTCATAATTTCCTAATCCTTATAACAAGTGTAAGAATACCATATTCTTGCCACTACTAGAATCTATTCGAATCTAAACTTACATGCAATGATCCTTTTGTATTGTCTAGGCACAAAAGTCACAGAGACTTGGCCAATGATATTACAAAGTATTGCATCTGAGAATGTTACAACACAATTCCTTGGAATTGAAGTCTCACATTCAAAGAGCATTCCTTAAACATCCTTCTTGCATTAAAGTTTCTAACTCACACAAATATTCTTAATATCCAACTCCCATAAGAACTCTGCAGTTAAGCGTGCCCGTGCAAGAGCAATCCAGGGATGGGTGACCCCCTGAGAAGTTTTCGTGTCGGGGGCCCAAATCGGATAATAGGGTGATACGTGTCAGAGGGGGATGTTACAAATGGTATCAGAGCTAGGGAACGGTTCGATGTGTTTGACAGTGACATTGAACCCTATAATGGGGATGAAGGTGGGTTGCACCTGATCCCACATTGGCTTGAAAGAAGAACTAAGCATTTCCTTATAAAGGAGTGTGGATACCTTCCTTGTCACAACTCGTTTTAAAGACGTGAGGGCAGAATATCCAATAAGAACTCTACAGTTAAGCGTGCCTGGGCGAGAGCAATCCAAGGATGGGTGACCCCCTGGGAAGTTTTCGCATCGGGAGCCCAAAGCGGAAAATATTGTGATATGTGCCAGAGGAGGATGTTATAAATGGTATCAGAGCTAGGTCACGGGTCGATGTGTTCGACAAGGACGTCGAACCCTATAATGGGGGGTGAAGGTGGGTTGCACCTGATCCCACATCAACTTGGAAGGAGAAATAAGAATTTACTTATAAAGGGTGCGGATACCTTCCTTGTCACAACACATTTTAAATTCGTGAGGGAAGCAGATCCCATAAGGGAAGTTTTCGCGCTGAGAGCCCAAATCGGACAATATTGTGATACGTGTCATAGGGGATGTTACACTATAGACAAATTATTTTCCCTAAAAGCATGTTGTTGTATGTGACTAAATCTACCCTGATTGCATAGTCATCAGCATAAGAGATACTTGTATAGTCCTTAAATGAAAAAGAGTTTTTCATGTCCCTGACCTCCTACTCTGAGGTATGACACGATACCAACTAAAACTCTATGATGCAAGAATTAAACCATTTCTTGTTGATGGGTTATATTTGTTAATGATTTACACTTATTTCACCTTAGCATTACTGAAACAATCCATTCTCTTCATATTTTTCTTTTTTAGAATTTCATGATTCAGCGTATGATACCAGACGTTGATGAGAATTAGAAAAAATTTATGTCGATGGGTATATCATTGTCTGCGATATATTACACGCACCTACCTATTCTTTCCCAATAATTCTTCTATCAAGAAGTTAATGATTCACGATATTAGCCATACACTGATAAAACTTCGACACTCTTTGCAGATGGATACATTTCATATCTGAATATATTACATGCATCATACCCCTATTGCCTTTTTCTTCTAATAAAAGTGATTAATGAGTCAGCGTATGAAACCACACGCTGATGAAATCTCGCAATACTATGTCCACGAATAGTAATTCAAACATATACTATTAGGGGACATCACAATCGTAATAGACTACAAGTTGCATATCTGATACTTTAGTTGCTTCCTCCAAACCCGTATTTGTTGTTGATGTCAAAAAGGGGGAGAATCTTGCTAAAGCTGAAGAAATCTTGCTAAATCTAAGGGGGTCAAGCTGACATCAACATTCTCAGCTCATCATTTCTTCGTCCGTCTGTTGTGATTCATAAATGATGTCTCAACTGCATGACAATCAAAAATGAGAAGTCATTCATCTTCTCAGGGGAGAATTCGTTTAAGCTGGAGAACTTAAAAATTTTAATGTTACTCTCAGCTGGAGCATGAGCTGAAGGATTCATTGAAGATTAATTTTGACATCATCATATAAGGGGAGATTGTAAGGCCACACCTTATGATCTAACGAGTCAAACACTCTACATGTTATCTATCAGCGTGAGCGTCTATATGCTCACAGCATCAACATATCACGACTATCAACGTCAACTTATTATAGTTATTCTATGTAATATTTTGTATATTAGGTAATTATATAGATAAGTATAGAATAGATATCAGATCTGATATATTTGTTAGGAAGATCGGTTTTTAGTATATATTATTTACAATCCCTTCAATCAAGGGATATACTTGTATAGATTAGTATATTATCAACATTAGGGTAAACCCTAATGTTGATTTTGTCTTGGTGACCATTTTGTGACAAACTGTCTTTTTGGTGAAGACAAAACCCTTTCTTAGTGAAAGACAGTTTGGAGAAATCCCTGTGTTATTTATTTTATGTTCTTTTTTGCTTAGATTAGTTTGTTTTTGTTCTCTATACTTGAAGTGTATCCGATCGATAAAAAATTTCGGTAGTCTTATTGACTCATGTTGTATGTAAGTATGCATGTGTGGTTGTCTGCTATTTGTATGTGGGGTGAAATAGACCCGAGGGTGAAAGAGACCCGAATGGTTAAAAAATACCGATTGAGTTGAAATAGAATCGGGGGTGAAATAGACTCGGTACAGCCATGTGCCGACATATGAGTAGAAACAAACTTGGAGGTGAAATAGACATGGGGGTGGAATAGACCCGGTACAGCCTTGAGTTGACGGATATGTATGGTAAGTAGTACTTTGGAGAACTCACTAAGCTTTGTGCTTACAATTATCTGTTTGTGTTTCAAGTACATCTGGTTCGAAGGGGAAGAGCTCATGATGATCGCATCTCACACACTGTGATTTTCCACCTTATTTGACTCTAATGTATTTCTGGATGATTGTTAACATATTTTGATTTCATTTTGATTTTTATAAACATGTTGGTTGATATTTTATTATTACAAAAAAAAAAAGTTATAAATTTTGGGACCTTACATGTTATGTTAATGCATCAACCATTTTAGTTAATAATGTTTTTTACATTTTTAGAATAACGTAAAGTACATTGTTATTCTTTACATTTAACAATATGCATATAAAGGAAATTACATTGTTATGTTTTGTATTTAACAATAAAGTGACGATTACAAAAACTAATTGGTAAAAACTAAATGTGAAATTAAAAAAGTAGGCTTATGAAAAATACATAATGTGTTGCAAATAGAACAGAAGGGTAAATGATCATTTTTATCATTCATCACAGTCAGTCAGACATATAATCAAACAGCATGGTTTTAGTGAGATGTAGACTCAGTCAGACTCCAAACCCAATCAGGCATTTGTCTCGGTCGGATTTGACTCAATCAGCAACTATCAAACATCACCTAAGTTAGATTGCTATCTTCTTACTCAAAATAAATCTACATCAGGTATTTTCGTTAGGCATATACATTGCCTAACCTATTTTGAAATATCATTAGGTTAAGATAAAACCATGTAGTAGAATACCTTAGCTGGTATTTTGAGAAGACCATGACACATTGTGAGCTTAAACAAGTGTCATGATATGTTTATTGTTAACAACCTTGCTATTTTCAAAAATAATTATATGTTTTAACTTTTAAGTGAACTGAAATCATTTTTTCTGCAACTAATTATGATGAAACTTTTTAAAAGTATAATTGATTTCTTAATTATGTTTTTAAATACACCCTAGTGACGGATGTTACATGGTTAGTCTCTATAAAATAGTTGTTGACAAACTAATCCGAGACTAAGACCAATCCTACCTAAGGTCGCTCTCAATTCTAGTTCGACCTATGACTAATCTTGGACTGGCTTGCGAATAGTGTTCAGTAAATTTGGGACCTCACCCAAACCTATAGTCTGTACAATCTGGAACTTAGCGGTTTAAGAGCAATTTGGGATCGATTCAATTGTTAGGCATATCTATAGATTGGTTTGAGGTTGGTTCTAATGTGAAGGTCTAGTTAAACCACCCACAACTTTGTTGTTCTTTGTGTCATTGTTTGTGGATGGTGATTACAAAACAATTTAATAATCATAACGAAGACAAAATACAAGTTAAAGTTTTAATCCCCTAGAATTGTGTATTCAATCAGAGTACAATTATATCAACAATTTGCAACCATGTGATACTATGAATACTTCCTAAAAATCGCATTTGTTGGATACCAGTCACCAAAGTAGGTAACTTCGGCGAGAATAAATAGTTACTAGAATGCCAACAAGATCAACACAACATTGACTTCTTTCCTTGCCTACAAAGTCTCCGCAAAGAAGCTCTCCTACACTTGTTAAGATCCTATGGTGGATCTGAACCACGACCTTAGGCAATCCAAATATATTCGAACTGATACAAAATGCAACTTTTAGAAAATATCAATCGTGTGATCCCCATAAAACAACCATATATGGATTACATACTAGGAGATCATGGTCGATTCAAACCAATTTCAGGCCCCGAAAAAAAATGAGACCCTTTTTGCCGCTGTCTGCAACGACTTAATACCAAAAGTTTTTTTTTTTCTAAAACATTATAAGTAGATACATAAAGAATAGGTTCTAGAAATTTGGAGGCCCTAAATCATCGTTCATGCTACCCTACTCTCTAATACAGTCCTAAGATGAGGAAATATGACAACAATGCCTAATAATAAGAGCAACATACATACCAAGGTGTAGCAAACATAGATGGCAAGAAAATCAATACATGTGACATGAATTTACATGGTTCCGCAATTGGGGTAATTATGTACATCAAAGAAAGAGATGCACAACATGTATTCTTCATCACCAACCAATTCAAAGAGTTGCTACAAGATCACTTATAATTGAAGAAAATAAAGTACCAACAACAGCAATGAAATCTCCAAAGAGATACAGGTGCGTATAGTATATATTAAAGTGACACTCAAATACGCTTAAATCGCCCCCTTATCACCGACTACAAAATGGTTACCAACTGCAAGTCACAGTCCATGTCATCTTGAGAAATCAAAGTCACTATCAAGTTTCTGAAAACCTCCAGAGACCCACTGGTCGGCCAATATTTTTTGTCTTACTGTAGCAACATCAACATGATGTCCAAGTCGTGATGTATGTGGTCTGGTTTGCTCGTGCGCTGAAGCATATTGTGTATCACAAAAAATACAACAAAACGGGTTATCAAGTGTAAAAATGAGTTGGATCTTGACCTCACCCACCTCAACGCAGAGTCGTCCAAAACAATCTTTTTTCTAAACTTAAGCGACTCTTTACCCAAGAAACGCGTAGCCACAAATTATTCCAAAATAGGGCAAAAAACTCAACATCTTTAAAATATTTATATGTATATATTATTCCTAGAAAAATTAAATATATGCTGTTTATCTATGCATATATTAATACAATTATAAGCAATGTTGAGTTTTGGCGTATTTACATAAAGAAAATAAATTAACCATACATTAATAGCAGATAAGTTAAATAATGAAAATTTTAATGAAATATAACGCATAATGCTACTCATGTGCATTTTGAGAAGAATAACACTGAAGTTGTCCAATTACGATGTTGAGGAAGTTTATTACCATATAGCTAACGCTAACATAGCCTTATTGAGTGGTGACATTCCTAATGTTAAGTGTTTCACTTTGGACTCACGTTTACAGTAAAATTAGCATATTATTTGGTAAAAGACAAGACATGTAGTGTGTGTTGCGTAAGAAGCTTCAAATAAATAAACAGAAAAGGGAAATTGTATAAAAACAAGTCTAAATTCAAAACTTGGCTCAAAAGATATTCAAGTATTGAAATAGCACAGGGAATACTTTATTGAACAACAACGCAGCAGTGACACAACCATAACTTATGGAGATAGAGAGTGAGAAAGTATGAAGATACATCTAATTTTTATATGGTTTTTTTTTTTTCAAGAAAGAAAGCCTCAGTATTCCCTGGAATAGAGATGAGAGCAGTAGACAATCAAGCTTGTAATCCAATGATACCTGCATGCAATTTCAATATGAGACAAGACCACCTTAAGGCTTAAAGCAATGTGATTTGTTTTCCTTTTGTTGCTGATTTAGTTAAAAAGACATATTGGCTTACCACATGCAACCCTTCCACCAGCATTTCCAGTGCTTTTGCTGAGCTCATGGCCACCTGAATGAGAATAGACACACAAATTGTCTTACATATGTATATTTATATAATAATATAATATAATATACAAAAAGATAATTGAAGTTTACCCTTTCCAAGATCATCAGCATCAGCATGGACAACTACAGCCCTTCCAATGATGGATTGAGATCCAATTAGTGGAATCTACATAAATCAATATTCATATATAAGTTAGATTTGTACAATTTAATTTATAGCATAGCAACTCATGTGAGGAACCAACCTGCTTATCAACAATGGTGAATTTTGCAGTGCCTGTGTTGATCAAAAAGAACATAAGAAGTTAGCAGTAGATCTTTTGTGATTTGAAATTTTAAAAATTCATAGCTAAGAACTTCAATTAAAAACATTGAACTCATTGACTAGTGTCATATAATGTTTGGAGATAGAAATTTTGAAATTCAAATGCAGCCTCAAAGTTTGACTTTTTGAATAAAGTATGCAACCAATGGAAAATAGCCATAGAATAAAGTTTGATTTCTTTTTAAATATAGTGCAAAACCAAGACTTATTGAATCTATAAAAGTCATAATTTAAAGTAAGTGTGATACCCTCTTCGCCTACTGTAACATTCCCAAGATCGCCAGCATGGCGAACCTCATCATCTGGAGCACCATGTTCCTTTCCATGAGGATTGTAATGAGGGCCTATCATCAAAAGAAATTAGATATATGATCAAGAGACACAAAGTAATTCACATTTAAGATATTAGACATACCAGTTGACATGCATCCATTGGTTGTGTCACCAAGTGCATGAACATGGAAACCATGAGGTCCAGGTTTAAGGCCAGAAAGGTTTCCAGTAACAGTAGTGGGAGCACCTGAAACATTAGTTAAATATTAGATAACTTATATTTTCTATTTATACTTGATAAAAAATCCAAATGTTAATCAAATTTATTACCTTCTGTCTCTTGTTCGAAGAGGATGGTGCCACTAACACCCTCACTGCTGTTAAGAACTGCAACTCCCTTCACCATTTTTATATGTGATCTAAACAAGTGAATAACCAGATATTATAATCAAATCACCTACAACTTTCAGACCAATGAGTATGTTAGACATCAAGACTCAAGAGACAGCATCACAACTTTTCTTCTTAAATAAGAGCATAATGGTTAAACCTTATTACTGAAAATCACAAATCCTGTTTAGTAGATTATTAGTCAAAAACCAGGTGAACAAGTAGATTAATACTCAAAAACTAAATGAGGACAGATTGGTCTTGCTTTAGAAGTACTCAAATGTTAAAGAATCTAGACGCCATTTCCCGAAAGGCAAAACACATCCCCTTTTCCAGCCTTCCATCCACTTCAGATTTCACTATTTTGTCCACAATACCTCCAAAATCATGAACTTATTAATATACCATCTTAACAATTTATTCCAAACCCGATCCGTGACAAAACCAAGTTTTCCACTTCGTATAAACAAATTGTCCGATCATAGCTCACAAGATGAAATGATTTCCTTCACAGTATACTTATATAATCCCTTCATGGTTGTTATGTATTCGATACGTTTGCTACGTTTTTTTGTCAGATTTATTACTAGATGATCACACATACACCCCTCACGAATCGACATCACGACTTCAGAGTTAGAACTTAGAATCATGACCATATCAGTTGATCTTTACAATTGTCTATCAGATCATGATGAATCAACAAGAGAAATCACTATATATCCAAATAGCGTTAAAATCGAACTGAAACAAAATTGAAAATGATGATGATCAAACAAGTATAATAAATTCATCGAATTTGTTTTCGATCTGTTCACGGACCAGATAAATAGATCACACATACCAAACAACTATCTGAATCAAACAAAAGTAAGGAAAAGAAAGTCGAATTTTACCTCAGATAACCCCCGCAAAGCGTCTGTAAGAGTGTGTGTGAGTAGTCGATGATACCTCGAGATAGGGCACGGTTTATTATTATATCGATTCAGCAGTACGCCATTTATGACTAGCCTTATTATATCTACCACCTACCCCGACTGGCAACGCGCCTATTCCTCGAATGAACACTAAATGGAAACGTGTGAAAAGAGCATTGGTGCGTAGATTACACGCTAACGTAATCCGCGTTGGATTTCATGTTAGTGTGCCTTTGGTGTGATTCGTGAGAGAATGTTGGGCCGGCAAGACGAAGCAAAGCCCATTTGTTTTGAAAGCCTTCATTGACCTTTCTTTTCAAATTATTATATTTTTAGTAAATTGCTGCAAATTATTTAAGTTTTTTTTTTAAAGCACGTCGAAATGAGAATATTTTTTATAGCTTTTTTATGGAGATTTTTTTTAGAGAGGGCAAATGTCATAAATGTCCTACAAAAATTTTAGAATTGATTCATGTAGTTCTTAAATTATTTTTATTGTTTTATAAGGACATAAAATAGACATTGACTGCTTTTTTTATCACATTCATCTAAAACAACCTGAATAACATATATATAACCTCTCTATTTGAAACACATATGTTACCTATCTCATCATTGATGTCATAGTATTAAGAATATAACAAATGTGAACACAAAAATGGATCTAAGATCTGAAAAAGACAGTTGATTCGAACACATTTTCAATTTTAACTAACCAGTTTCTAGATTCATGATATGTGCGTGAGAAAACATGAATTTTGACTTACAATTTGAAAATTTTGAAAAAAAAAACATGGAAAAGGAAACGAAGGTGAAAGAAATGATTTTTTTTACCATTTAAAAGTGCAAAAAAGCTTCTATTAGGCATGTAATCACAAACAAAAGTTTCTTTTCAAGTAGGTTCTCATGATCCATAAACCCTCAATTTTCTCTTTCAATTCCTTCTCCAACATTGTCACATCTGTCAGTCACTTCACAACCACTGTAAGATCCACCTCCAATGTTGTCTTGTACGTCGTCTGTAACACCAGTGCTCTAGGTATTCTCAATTGTGGCTTATTTTCTTAAAAGTTTAAAATTTTGGTCCTTACATTGGGGGTACGAGACAAGTACGTTGGGCATAAATGTTTAAATGATGATTGTGAATCCATTGCGTACGTTGGTCGTATGCATAGGTACATCGGGTTTACTGCTTCAGAGGACAAACCCTAATTTTTAGGGTTTGGACCCTATTTAAATAACATTATGACCTTAGACCTTTCCTTACTTTCAAGCTCCATCCCTCTAAACCCTAAAATCAAAACCCTAGCCTTTGAAAGTGAGATTTGAAGCTTTTAAGTGGTTTTTTTAGTATTCTTGATTGTGAAGGAAGATCATCCAAGAAGAGGTTTTGTTCTCAAGCCTTTGGGTCCATCAATTACTCATCCTTGTACATCTTTTGGAGGTATAAAGCTCCAACCTTGATGCATATTTCTTTAGATCTTGTTTAAGCTTATATTTATACTCTTTTTGTCGTAAAACCTTGACATTTGTGAGTATGGAATACTCCAAAGATTTTAAGTTGTCCTTTCAGACATTTTAGGATGTATAGTGTCATAAAAATGCAATCTTGGTCCTTGGTTTTCATCTATGCAAGAGTTATGAAAGTCTAGATGATGATTTAAGTTGGGGTTCTGGTTTTTAACTTCCTTCTTGCCATGAAAAGGCATAAAGGCTACAAGTTTAAGATTTTAGACGTTTATTGGAGTTAGATCTGAAGTTTGGATGTTAGGTCTTAATGCATTAAGACATCATTTGAGAGTTTTGATTTCAGGGAATTATGTTGGGCTTAACCCTCTATATGTTGGGCGTAAAAGGTTTCGACCCCGTAAATCTTCCAAGGCTCGATGGTACGTGGGGCGTAATATAGAGTACGTCGAGCATACTCCCAGAAAACCCATTGGGCTATTTTTGCGCCTTGGGCTATTAGAGGATTTTTGACTTGTTAGTTGGGCTATGAATAGGAAGGGAAAATGGTCTTTTTCCCTTGATAATATAAAGGATAATTTGGACCATTGATTTTGGGTTAAAAACCAGACTTTAGTTAGGTTTGTCTTTGGGCTTTGATTAGTGTGTGGAACCGTGTTAGCAGCAGCGTGAGTGTGAGATTCAGTTACCTTCAGCTAGAGGTGAACCTCCTTACCACACTAATGGGTCGAAGGGACTAAGGCCGACCCACTAATCTATATGTGTAGGATGTATGCCATTATGCGATTATTGGTTATGTGATTATATGATATATATATATATATATATATATATATATATATATATACATATATATATATATATATATGCATGGAGTCAGTATGGGCTCGAGGCCATATGAGATCAGGTTTGAAAAGGACACATGGGTTGATACAGACCCGACACAACATTTGTTGTTGCATAGGGTTGAACAAACTCGAGGGTTGTTACGGACCTGACACAGCCACATGTTGTAATATTTATGTGTATTGCGTATGTGGTATTTTAGGGAAGCTCACTAAGCGTTATGCTTACAAATATCTTTTTGGTTTTAGGTACTTCTGGTACAAAAGGGAAGAGCCCGACTTGATGGCACAACATCTTCCCCCTCATGATTTCCGCATTTTATGATCTCTATTTCTCTGATATTTGTGATAAGTTGTATTTTGGATATTTTCGAGACATATGTTGTTTGGATTAATGAACTGAAAAATAAAAATTTTTACTTATGAATTTTGGGTCGTTACAAGTTGGTATCAGAGCCTTGGTTTGAGGGATTCAGGGAACACTTTTGGGTGTGTCAAAACTTAAACTGGGGAAGTGATAATCTTTTCAAAAGAAAAAGGAATTGAATTTTTGAAAGCAAAGATTTTTACTAAGTAAAAAGGGGTGTGATGCATGCAATCGGTCGAGCTCAAGTAAGTGGTTTCTAAATTACCCATACCTATGTATTATGATTAGTATACTTAATATGTGAATTTCATGCTAGATTAAGGCTAAGGATACCTTCGGGATCGTATGGTAGGATTTCCTTATTTATGTGATGCCTCATAGCCTAGGGGATTCAAATGTTATGTATTGCTTGGAATTGATATCGGCTTAGTTAATTGCTAAGTGTATGCTTTAAAATTTATATACGGTTAGGATCATATATCTCTAGAATGATTAGTTTAGCCTTATTTCTTGTTCCTTGTTTGCTTGTGGAGCTAGGGTAGAATCATTATTTGACAGTCTGTATGATCCCATTTTATGTATAACTTGCATGTATAAGGCAACCGACAGTGTTGATTGAGATTTTTTGTATGGTAGAGGTGGTTATATTAATGATTCCTATGAGATCCTAAGTAATGCCATAGTTTATTTGGTATTTTTTATCATGGTATTGGTATATGGATTTAGTGTGGTGACTTAAAGGAATCAGGAAGACTCTTGAGGAGGGTACAAGTAGGTGTTGAAGGTAGTGTTGAGCCTAACTACTAAAGCATGAGATCCGTACGCGAGACAAGGACGGACCTAGAGACTTTAAGGAGACCTATATAGTGAGAGTTACCTCGAGTTTTGTGTTGATTGTTTATATGTTTGTATTTCATTTGATTATGGTAGTAATCACTCTAGGAAAAGGTTTTGGCTCTGGTTATGGTTCTGGTTACGGATCGGGTACAGAATGATTGATGAAAGGCTACGTGGGTTCATTGCAGCCGAGGTCACTCGTGGTATCGTGGATGCTACTCTTGTGATGTTTGGTACCATCAAGGAGGGGAGTATGGAGCTTATGGATGAGCGGATTAGGGCCTTTCGAGTCGAGATTGTTGTGGGTCGATTAAGAGCGCGAACTCCCTCATTTCAGGAGTTCAAGGATTGTGGAGCTCCTGAGACCTTTAAGGATAAGGACCTCATCGCTAGTCGACATTGGATCGTTGACATGGAGAATGCTCAGTGGACGAGTTTTTTCCTGGAGGGGACAAAGGTAGGGTTTGCATCCTAAATGTGGAGGGATCGAGCACGGGACTGGTGGGATGAGATGAACCGAGTTGTGGGGACGGCGGTATTGGCAACCATGACTTGGTAAGAGTTTTTTACCAGATTCCAGAGGGAGTTTGCATCAGCGATCAAGGTGCAGTAGCTGGCGAGGGAGTTTTAGGACCTTTTCCAGACTAATGAGACTATGGTGGAGATCACCACCAAGTTCCATGAGAGAGCTTTGTTGATTCTATAGTACCTTATGGATGAGGAGATGAAGAAGACGAGATACCATGACATGTTGAGGGGTGAAATCAGGGAGTTTTTGAGTTATTTAGGGTGCAAGACCCTAAATGATATGATTGAGAGGGCCACAAGCGGGATATTAAGTTAGAGGTTTGGGCGAAGCGCAAGATGGAGCAGGTGCAGACTGTCATGGGCCAGGATAAGAGACCCAAGACTTCTGATTCACATTCTAGGGGCCATCAGGGTCGAGGTCGCTGCAAAAAGTGGGTCCAGCAGCACAGTTAGGCGTGTCAATCAGCAAGTTCGAGTTGCTACAAATGTGGGCAGACTAGTCACATGAGTAGGGATTGTTTGCGGAGTGTATTGATCTATTTTTACTGTAGCTAGACAGGTCATAAAAGGCCGATTGTCCGAGGTTTTCAGGAGGGGAAGTGGCGGCGCCTACATCAGCCACCTTGAGGTTTACCGATAGCCATCAGGTCAAGGTGGAGTCACTCGTGGTGAAGATCAGGGCATTTCAACTTACTACCGATGAGGCCCGAGCAGCACTGGATGTGGTTGCCGGTATGAAATTTTATTATATCTTTATTTCTTTCCTTATTTATGCTTATATTGTATATGATCATGTGTAGCAACTTTCTTAGTCAATGGTATGATTGCTCATGCTCTGTTTGATTCAGGTGCTACCCAATCCTTTGTATCTCTTGTGCTCAGCTAGTAGTTTAGTAATGCTCTTGGGATTCTGGATTATCAGTTGGATATCGAGATTGTTGATGATCGTTATGTGCATGCTTTGAGGGTTCATTGAGGGTGTGTCTTGAACCTGTTCAGGGAGAAGTACTTTATTGATTTGGTGACGATCCCTCTGCGGGGATCCAAGGTTATCATCGGGATGTACTGGTTGATCCCCAATAGGGCCATGATTGACTATGAGTGCCATCTTGTGAGATTTCGAACCCCAAGTGGGAGAGAACTAATTATTCATGGCGAGGGAGCTTCACATGGGCTGACTCTCTATTCAACTACAAGGGCCAGGAGATATCTTCAGCAGGGTGTTCTGTGTTTCTGGCTTATATGGCGTATTCTCAAGGTGAGAGCGTGACGATGTTGAGTAAGATGCCCATTGTTCAGGATTTCACCGATGTGTTTCCTTTGGATTTTCCAAGAGTGCCTCCCGAGAGTCGGGTCGAGTTCCAAATTAATTTGGTTATTGGTGCGACCCCGATAGCCAAATCATGGTATCGCTTGGTACCATCGGAGATGCAAGAGATGTCTATGCAACTTCAGGAGCTGCCAAGCAAGGAAATTATTCGGCCAAGTAGTTTACATTAAGGAGCACCAATCCTATTCGTTAAAAAGAAAGGTGGATCGTACAGGATGTACATTGACTATCGGGAGCGGAATAAGCTAACCGTGAAGAATCGTTACCCACTCTCGAGGATCGATGATTTATTTAACCAACTTTAGGGTGCATCTTGGTTTTCTAAGATTGATTTACGATCATGCTACCATCATATGAGGTTCAGAGACGACTATGTGAA